ACGACAACGACAACGACAACGACAACGACAACGACAACGACAACGACGACGACGACGACGACGACGGCACACGAACGAAAAAGTGTCTCAAAAAGTGGTTTTCTACACGTTTCATGAGTTTTTATGATGATCTAAGCTAATTTTGCGAAAAAAGTTTTCGGGACCAATTTCTATACTTTCCCTTGACACGTTGTGTACGGAAAAGTAATGAATACTTTCATCATGTTCATTTTTATGTATTCCTAATGATAATAATTTCTGATTATGTATGAAAATATTGTAAATTTAAAACATTTATTTAATAAACTGTACTATTATTTCTATGCAAACAAAAATGTATATCATTGTTTTTCATTCTCAAAATCGCCAATATTAAGTGATTTTTCTTGATGGTCTATTCGTTGATTGATATGTGTTATTCGATGTACATACATTACAATAAACGACGCTTCGATTTTTCCATTTAAAATGCCAGAGATTCTACCTGCAGAATTATGGTACCTTTCAGATATTAGCATTTGAAAAATAGTGATTTTTTTTGCATTCTCTCTACGTTCATATGAAAAAAAACAAGTACGGTTTTCATGCGACTCAATTGCTTATATGTTTGATTTTTGTAGGTGTAATCTATGTTTCGGTGATGCCAAACTCTCGACGAATTTTGTCGGTGGATTTATTTTTTACTTTCAAGGCTACACTCCTACATAGGCTATGTAGCATATCATTGAAGTCCAAGTAATTTGCAGTGTTTATGAGTTCAAACAAATGGACATTGTTTTCCTTGATGAAGTCTTGGCATAGGCACAAGATTGGACACAAAAAATACTATATGAGAATCGAGATCAGAAGATGCGTTTCACAAGCGAATATCGTTCGAATAAGAAAATTCAAGCCATCGTTAAGAATATTATGCATAGCTAAATGAACATTTACATTGGAAAAGAATGGACGAAAATGCCGTTATATACTTGAGACAAAAGATGAAATATTTTTTGGTATTTTTCTCCTAATTACATTCAATCCGATTATCTACAAATTGTATTTGCATTTGAAAGGGGATTAAAAAACAAAAAAAACGGACCGACAACACATATGCACCAAAGAGCAATTCTAGTGAAAAACGTAGCTGAAAGTGAAATAAAGAACAAAGTTGAGTGAGTCCACTAGCGTTAGTATCTCCAACAATTCTCCTCCGAACTGCTCTGAATTTATTGTCATCATTAGGGAAAAGCCTAGAAATATACTTTAACGGTTCCTGCGAAGCATAAGAAGACCAATGTATAGATGGAAGACCGATACACCGAAATGTAAATAATCTCAAGTTGGCTCTATGAACGGATAACTGCAAAAATACGTAAAATATAAAAAGAAAATGGGATTAAAATAATCTGATTTGAAGTCAAACAAAATGTTTGCTTCTGAAATAAAAGTATTGCTTTATCTTTCCTTGGAACTATATGTTTGAGGATTGAGGTGGGTCAGTTAGAGCAAAAGAAATGAAATAATGTGTTTGCCAAACACTGTTTGCTTGAGAAGAAACTTTAATGAAATTTAAACCGAAAAAAATGAAATAGTAAAATTAAAGAGCGAATAACAAAAATACAAAATAATAACCCGACAGTATTTAGACCGGCGAACGGCCGATTTGTTTCGAAACTTGATTTATCAGGCAATGTCCTGAAACACATCGACCGTTCGCCGGTCTAAATACTATCGTGTTATTATTTTGTATTTTTGTTATTCGCTCGTTTATTTTACTATTTCATTTTTTCTGTTTACAATTTTTTTCAAAGATTCTCCTCAGGCAAACAGTGTTTGCCAATGCACTTCTGGAAATTGCGGTCTCATAATATAGTGTATCTCTTAATTAGAAAAAAATTTGCAAGAATATTTGCATCGGTTGGATTTTCAAATATTCAAATTAAATCCAAGAAGCGCCCTCTTCATTGATTCATCTGACGATATGACACATATTAACGCATTGATTGAAATGAACCATGGCTATTATATAAGCCAATAAATGGGATTATGTTATGATTATGACATGACATTTTGCTTTTGTAGTCGACAAGCATCAAGACGTGTTAGAGTGATAATCCACCAAATTGATCATTAAAATTGGGAAAAAAACGAAAAACTCTTAGGAAAAGCGCTAAATTGTATAAGAAGAAAAGTTTTCTACACAATTTTCTAGAAGGATTTTGGAAAATAGCTCAATATTGCCAAAACCATGGAGGTAAAGTAATTTCACTGACACAAAGCTTGTTTTCCTTCTCAATTTATGTTGCTTCAATTTATTTATTTCAACATTTTTGTTGAAAGATTCCAATTTATGTCATTAAAATATCTTCATTTAAGTCTCTAATTCGAGACACTCCAATTAAAAAACGATTTTTGTCTAATTCCGCAGGGAGCTCAAAAGAAAGTTGGTTCGTCGAATTCTGCCGAAGAAAAAATGGAACACAAGCCATTGACGTATGATGCAAGCCATGTTTTGGATGCGATTCCAGAAGAAGTGATTGTTATTGATGATGAACGCCGTTTACAACAATCGGCAAAGAGGAAGCGATTGCTCAAATGTGAGCCTGAATCACCGACTGTATCAATTCCCAATGACGATGTGCAAAAATCCATCTATCATTTCACCAAGGCCTACAATGATATGCGCGAATTGAATGCGACACTCGAAATGAAGTTGCAACAGAAGGATTATGAAATTCATTCGATGAAGCAATCACATGGTCAGAATTTGGCTGCATTCGAACGAAAGATTCAAGGTCTGCTAAAGGATAGAAATGAATCGGATAGAAAATTGAAGGATTTGGAAATTATGCTTGAAGAACTCGAGCAATTATCAATCAACGAAAATCAAACCTTGTTGACTCACAACGAAAAGACGGAATTGATCGAAGAAAATGAACGACAAATGAGGGTACTCAGCGCCAAGAAAGACAAAGAGCGACAGCAAGCACTAGCTGACGTCAAGCAACAGTATGAACAAGAATGTTCAGCTATGGTCGAAGAGGCCAAAGGGAAGAAGTATTGCATCGGCTGCGGCTACACTCAACCGAACGACATTTATGTCTGTAACATGAAGTGCCTGCAACGTGCATGGTGAGCTTGAAAGATTTTTCTTCAATTTCTAATGATAAAGAGTTAAAAGCCAAGAAAGATAGGAACAAAATGGCTCGTTCACATTTTTTACCCATTTGTTTTTTCGGATTTCTTCAGATTTTTGCCCATCAGAACAGATTTGGCTGGATTTCTCTAACCATTTTTCTTTCTGTTTCATTGCAGCAAGAAGTCGCAATAGAAGAATCCAGAACTCGACTCGATTGGTGGGACAGAGACAAAGTGTCATTGAACGATATACTTTTGTACGGCAACACGCATGAAATGCAACAAAAAATGAACGGAAAACCTCATGCGTCAACATTCGGTTTTGCTACTCATTTTTCATTATTTCGGTAAAAAGCAAACAAAACCTAAAGTTCAAATCATACAATTGCATAAAAAAAACATTGTTGATTCCGTAAAATCATAACAACTTGACAAATTATATCAAAATGTGAACATTTTTCTCTTGACAAAATCATTACAAATTTTCATAAAATAAATCTTCCTTTAATTCATTGAAATAGATCAGAGATTATGGCTTAAAATGTTGATACAAAATATGAAGAAAAAGAGAGAAATTTATTCGAAAGAAGTTTTTCATTGGGCCAAATCTCATTCAGCTGACGCTGTGCAATTCAATTTTGTTATGACTAACTACCACTAACACAGTCACACACTCAGATAGTGAGTGTCTGTCATCAGCACATACAGTTTGACGTTTATCAAAACAGCGCAATTAATTGTTTAGTCGGGATATGTTTATTAAACATAATTTGATATTTGCTTCAAGACGAACCTTTTCAAGTGATCAAATGATTTAAAAAGTTTGCATTTTGTGGTAGAAATTGTGTAAATTTAATGGCCTACAAAGAGGTAATACTTTGTTATTCTCGTGAATTGGTGACATTTGTGATTTTCTTAGTGTGGAATAAATAACAAATGGTTGAACACGCAAAAATTGAATAATTGATGATATATTTCATTGTTTGGTTTAGATCCATTTTGAGCGATCGTGTCTTTTTAACCTCTTCTTCACACATTTTTCTATCTTACGCAATTCATCCGTTCATTTTCTGGTGTTAATTTTTTGCTGTTCATTCATTTCTTTCATCCGTTCAATGTTTCTTTTGCTGTTGATTCATTCCATTTCTAGGTTAAGCACGACAAATATTGCTGGAAATGCTGTAGCAAAAACACAACGATGAAATGTTCCAACTGTGTTCGAGCATTCCATAAAAGATGTGTATCAAGCGATGGTCGTGATGTTCCAAAAGATAAAAATTGGTTATGCCCTGTGTGTAGTGTGCTGACATCGGAAAATGTTGACAAGTAAGATACTATGGTCATTTGAAATAACTCAGAAGTCGTATTTTCAATGGCCTTGTGTGTTGAATCGGTCTCAATCGGCGCATCAACAACTGTTGATCACATCGACGTTGATTTGTACCAGGGAAGTAGAATTGAGATATTAATCATTTCGTATTTTTGCAGGGAAAATGATCTGAAAATTTTGCCGGTGCTCATTGACAAAATATGGAACGATGAATCGGTAAAGACAGCGTTTAATTTTGAATTTGATTGAAATTTTATTCTCTTTCATAATAGAAAAAAGAGAAAAGAAAGAAAGAGAAAAAAGAGAAAAATAAGAAAGAAGCTTCTGGATTGGGTTTCAATATGATTTCCGATCAGATTTTAATTCAATCCAAAAAGTACCTAAATAAAATATTATCTAATCTAATTGAGCCGCGCATTAGTTTTAAGTCAAAAACATCCACTAAAATATCTCTATTTCAATTCATTTCTTTTCAGTTCGAAACATTGAAGTACCCCATGGAAAATTCCATTCATGCAGATATAAAAGTCATTCATTCCATTGTCAATCCAATGGATTTATATCAGATTAAAAGAAAGACTCATACTTACACCGGCTTCAATGAATTCTACGTCGACATTTGTTGGATCGTACACAATTGCGTCATTTTGTTCAAGGGTTAGTGCTTAATTTTCATCTCAGATCTTCAAGTCTCATATATGAGACAGATCTGATATCAGATATTCAACTTAATTTTTGTTTATTCATAAAAATGCTTTGTATACATACAAGACATTGATTTGGTGTTTGACTCTGAGGCTGGTGTTCAAATCACATTTCGGAAATACGAACAACTCATTTTTCGTCCATTCAACTTCCATTTATTTTCAAACACCGTATAAAATGTTGAAATTTCCAATATTTTGTTAGAAATGTTCCCTGTCCATCAGATTTCCACTAATTCATAAATGTACCCTTTTCAGAAACCCATGATAATACAAAAGCAGCCAGAGCATTACTGAATTGCATCATTGAGGATGTTCAAAGTGCCAAAGTGTGTTTTGAGTGTTACTTGAATGCCAACAAGCACCCGGATCAATGGTTTAGTATGGTGTGCGACGAGCCACATTTAATTATTTGGATCAAGAAAACGGGCGCTAACTACTGGCCAGCAAAGCTAATAAAAATCGTTACCGGGCAAGAGGTCAAGGTCCGTCTATTTGGTGATCACAGCTACGTCGACGTATCATCCAGCAACTGCTTATTGTATTCTGAATCGAGTCCAAGCCGTATTCCAAAATCACCGGATGCCTACAATAGCGCATTGAAAGTGAGCGATCTTTTATTCCATTTGATTCAGTTAGAATGGGAGTAAATGTCCAACTAGATCTAAATTCCAACTGTTATTTCGTTCCACAGGAAGCCAACACATACATTGGAAATCTTACGAAAAAATTCGGATCGTTTCGTTTCGCCGAATCGAAGACAGCATTCAATCCAGCACTGCTTGAATACTATATAGCTCAGTTGATCCCGGGCAGCGTGGAATATCGAAGAAACAAAAATGCTGCCAATGTAACCGATGCGACTGACCTTTACTCTGATGACTCATCAAGAATAATCAGAGAAGCCGACACAACATGCCCTGACGTAGGAGAATACACCACCCAAGATGAACATTTCATCGAAGAAGACCAGATCTCAGATGAAAGTGTAGCAATACTCAACTACAGCTATGAACCTGGTTCTGAAAATGATAGCGAAACAGATTTTCAATACAATTCTTCATTGACTCAACTCGCTGCAGATGATGTTATTGTCATTGATTGATGAATTACATCTTGATGTCTTGGAAATTAGGAAAAATACTCACTAAGCATACGTTTTGGACTTTTCTTTTATTATTTTACGTTAAAAACTAACTCTGTTTCGTACATTCGACAATGTAAATGGTTGATAAAAATTTGTTTCTGGAAGAAATTTTCAAAATCAGTTATAAAAAGCGACAAAGACGTTTAAAACCGGTTGTTAGATAGAAGTAAATTGAATTTTTTGTTAAATGACCGTAGCAATTTCCAAATAGTTCTGAATTTTTTTTAGCTAAAGAAATGTATTTGGATTAAATGGACGGAGAACCATTATTTTTGATCTTGAAATAGATCTTAAATGAGAACCAAGTTGATCGATTGAATTAAAATGTTTGTTTGAAATAAATAAAGCAATTGAAATAGACAATTGAATTGGGGTTGGCTTTGGTTTTGGCTTTGGTTTTGGCTTTAGCTTGAATCAACGGTTTACTATCTTCTAGCAAAAAATCTATTCTTTGGTCCAGCGTATAGAATATTTTCAATGATCCTCAATTCCTACGTGACAGACTGACAGAATGATTCATTGTTGGGTATTTATTTCAATTTCCTCTAATAAGAAATTTTAATACTAATGTTGGGTCTTTTGTGAATGAGTCATCTGTTCTTTCTAAAAGTATTCTTCCTTAAAATGCACAGAAAAGGTCCTTCTAATAAAGTAGGTAAAAACATTCCTATGATCCGTCTCCTTTCTAGTATTCAATCCATTTATTTGTTCTAAAATGGGGTGGAATTGTGATAGCCCATACATTTCCAATTTTCCGCTCAAACAGAGCCTGTTGCTCACGATAAGTGGTATTGAACGCACCCAAAACTTCAGTATGACAGTTCAGAGTTCACTGTCTAAACATGTTTTGCTTCGACACAAACATTCACTACATTTGTGATTGCGACGTAAAAGTGTGTCAAAACAAAACATTGAAATAATTTCTGTTCTAAACAAACTGGTGAAATTGTTAAACAATATTTGATATTATTAGACAAAGCTAAGTAAACCGCAGTAGTTGAATTCCAATTAACTTCAGTTGGTGTACGATTTTGTGGTGGACAAATTGCCGGCAAAAACATGGCCAAACAGGTAAAATCTTGCAATTGCGAACAATGACGAAATTGGCTATTTTGCAATTTGCGAAATATTTTGCAAAGCATCACATTCCATGTGTTATTTGAGGTTACAATCCAAATTTTTCTCTGTTGAATTTTCCAATCTTTGTTTAACTAGAGATTTCAATTGAAATCAAATATTCAAAAATCGTATTCTTCAAGCATTTCAAACGTAAATGTTTATTGAACATTTTTCAATGTTGCCGAGAGTGTCGGCCCAACACCGATACATTTTTTCCCAAATTATTTTGTTCTCTGTTATTATTTTTGTTGTGTACAATTTTGTTTTATTCATTGAAAAAAACAGGAAACAAATATTTCCACACCAAAACAAAAAAATAAAACCAAATGACCATAATCCAAATACGAAATTCCATTTCAGGTGAAGCACGATAAATATTGTTGGCGTTGTTGTGATAAAGATACAACATTGGAATGCTCAAGTTGTCAGCGATCATTCCATCTCAAGTGTCTGAAAAACCAACAACAAAATATTGATGACAAGGAAATCTGGCGGTGTCCCGTTTGCGTCCGATTGGACGTCGTAAAGTATGGATTTATTTTCGGTTTTGAAATCTAATTTCAACTTTTATTTTAAGAAGTTTAAACTTAATCGCAAAATAAATCCTTTCAGCGAAGACCGTTTGGACATGTTGCCAATAATGATCAGCCGAGCATTCAAACAAAAGAAGGTATTTTCATTTTTTTCTCTTTTAATTGATTGATGCTGAATCTCTGCAGACATTAATCATGATTAACACCTATCCCACAGTTTGACTTGTTGAAGCATCCTCTGAAAAATGCAGAAGATAACTCAAAAACCGATGAGTTGGTGAATCTGATGGACCTAACGAAGATCAAGGACACAATTGGCACTTACACCAGCTTCTTGGGGCTCATCGCTGATGCTCGGTGGATCGTTCATAATTCTTGGGTTCTGTTTCAGGGTAAGTTTTAAAGTGGAAATATTTAGTTTGAAGTTTTGACGTGGTCGATGAACGTTTGTTGATCAACAACATTTTGTTAAAAATCGATATTAAAAATGTAATTATATTTCAGGGGATCACCAAACGGTAAAAATTGCTGAGGAATTGGTGGAATTCCTAAAAATGCAGATTAAAAGCGTGAAAATGTGTGCTGATTGCTATTTGAACAAAAGTAAACATCCAGACAGCGGTTTCACAATGGTGTGTACGAAGCCACACCTCCTTCTTTGGGCTAAAGTGAGCGGATGGGACTACTGGCCAGCGAAGTATATGTCAACTGATGGGCAAACAGTTAACGTACGATTTTTCGGCGATGAAACAGAAGCAGACGTTCCAGCAGAAAGCTGCTTTCTTTACTCGGAAACCAGTCCAACAAGACCAACAAAACAAAAACGAGAGCCCAAAAAATTCAAAGAGGCTTTGAAGGTAATTTTTTTTTGGTATGATTTGTGAAAAAGAGGAACAAAATCCTTGGAAACAAAAACTTCAACGAAGAGTTGAAACGTTTATTAAGCATTTTACAACCCATTTTTAATTCATTTCGAAATTGACTCGTGGAACTTTTACCCCTTTCCTTAGGATGCAAAGAAGTACATAAAAAACATTCGCAAAAAATTCGGTGCATATCATCTCGTTGAAACTAAAACTCCATTCGACCCAACGATGTTGAATCGTTACCTTTTGGATTCGATTCCGGGATATGCAAACTCTCAAGATCCTTCACAGGACAACACAGACCGCAAGCCTGATGCACTTCCCAATGTTGCCACCGAAGATCAAAATCGCGCTGATGATGAAGCACAGCCAATTCAAGACAACGTGCAAAAGGATAAGACATGGAATCTTTACTATGATTCGGATGGATCGGCTGATGCCGAGTCGGAAATTGGTGAGCTGTCGGAGCAAGGCAACAAACCCGAATCGAAGGATGATTATGAGCCAATGAGGAAAAAATTTCGATTCTCTGACGATAAAGAAGGCGAACCCTCCGAGAAAAAGCTGGTTACCGAGCCTAATGTTGGAAGAGTTTACCACTCAATCGATCTTGATTCAATTGTTCAAGTTCTTGCCGAAGAACCGAAAAATGCCGTTGCACAACCCATTGCAAAAGTGTTTGCTAACATTACTAACGCAACCTGGAACGTGGCCAAATGTCGAGAAGTCATGGCGGAGAGCACCAAAGCTTTCGAACATGTGTGTGGCCTGAACACAAAATTGGAAGAGGAATTGAAAAATTTGGCCGCCAATTACGAAAGACAGCTCAAAGATGCGGAAGAACGTAATCAAAAGTTGATGACTGCTCATGATGAAAAAGAGAATGGCGCCAAGAAATTAACCGATGAGCTGACGATGAAAGTTGGTCAACTAGAGGCATCTAATAGAGAAAAGACGTCAGCACACAACAAAATGGTGTCCGAATACAACCAAATGATCGCAAAAAAAGACGAAGAAAGATTGAAGGATGTCAATGAAGCCAAGAAACAGTGCAAAAAAGACTATGCACGCCGTTTGGAAGCCAACAAAAAGATGAAATTCTGCGCGGCCTGTGACACCAACAAACCACAAGATACGTTCTACTTTTGCAATACGGAATGCCAGAAAAGTTACTGGTAAAATTTTGAATTTTTATCATTTTCTCATTCAGATCACTTAAATTGTCTCAATTTTTAAACTTCAGGATGCAGATGGACAAGTAAGCAGGTGGGCAATTTCTCGAAGCAGCAACAAAGTTCAACTGAACAGGAATTTCCGTAGCGAAGTTCTTTTTCCTCTGAAATGTCCTGTCAACATTTGTTGTTGATTCAATCAATACTAAAATTAGTGTAAGTGGACAGTAGTACACGGTGCTACTAGCACAGGAAATGAAAAATAGATTTTTAAGCAAACATTCACGTTTAATTCGAATTAGGAATCATGACAAATTGTTATCTTCAACTGAACCGTCTATTGGAAATCATTTTGAAAATGATTTTCGGATTAAAAATCGGCCAATGAACAAATGAAGATAAAATAATGGCCATTGACCCAAATAAAGATAAAATAAAGGCTATTGACAATAGATCTACTTTAAGTGCTAAACATGAACATACTCATTTTGTATTAAAAAATTTTTTTACTGATAAAGAATAAAAATAAAATTAATTTTGAACTTGGAATAAAAAAATCTTGTTGGATTTTGATTATTCTAATTGTCTACTGTTTCCACAAGGTACACTTTATTCCAATAGTGATAAATTGGTCTATTCTGAATTTTATCGTCTGAAAAGTTGCCCAATTCTTCAGTAGATGATACTACGTCGAATTATTTAGTTGCATTGATTCCAAACTGAAGAATTTTGAAATTTTCGTTCGAGCCGGACTCGTTGCTTTGGAATGGTATGTTTTGAACGCACCCAAAAACCAGACTTGGTGAAAGAATGAATCAGCTGTCACAAGCAGTATCTTTTAATGACAGTACTGCGAAATTGTGTGTGCATGTGAGCAATGTCATGGATAAGAAATAGCGGGAAACAGTCGATTGGCATGTTTTATGGGCGTCACTTGTGATAATATCTCAATGTGTTATCGGTGCACCACTTTCATTCATAGATTCTTCCGTAATTAATTTGGCGCAAACAAAATAGATTCGATTTGAAAGGAACAAAATTGATGAACTGTAGGCCAATCAAAGTGTTCTTTTAATCGTTGAGCGATATTTGACTTTATCTGGAAATAAAATTAGGCGATTTCCGCACCATTACTGTTCGTTTACAATTTGTGTGATACAAATCCTTCTCGACAATCCAACATGGCTGCATTGGTAGGATCTTGAAAAATATTTTATACATAGAATAAATCTAGTCTGGATTGAAGAAGATTTAAGAAAATACCGAAGTAAAAACAGTATGACTTTTGATCAAATATGAAATCCCACTTTGATTCCAGACGAGACATGACACATTTTGTTGGGATTGTTGTGTCGAAAACACAACATTGAAGTGCTCGAATTGTCCACGGTCATTTCATCCCAAATGTGCTAGATCCAAAAAACGAAATGATTGTGAAACTTGGCGTTGTCCGATCTGCATTGAATTGGATGCTACAAAAAACACTGACGAGTAAGATAATTTGTATGATTTGAAAAATCGTCTTTGATTCTATTGTAATTGGCTATCTTGGTAGCTATAATCGAGATTCAATCGGGAAAATTAAAATTCCCTTTAAATTTTGTAGCAAAGAGTGTTTGGACATGTTGCCAATAATGATCAACCGCGTATTGAACGATGAAAAGGTAATTCGAGTGATTCTCTTTGGATGAATTTCTGTAATGAAAATTTATTTGATTCTCTTAACATTTCACAGTTTGCTTCATTGAAGGTTCCATTGAAAGGTGCAAAGCCTGATTGTTTGGTGAATCTAATCGATTTGACGAAGATCAACGACAAGATTTATTCGTACACCAGCTTCTTCGAATTTCTCACCGACATCCAGTGTATCGTTCACAACTGTTTGATCTTATTTTCCGGTAAATTTTTGAGTCAATTGAGTGAAAACGATTAGTTTCAACGTTCTGATTTGAATCATTTCATATTCCAGATAAGCACGACATGGTAAAAACGGCCAAGTCCTTGGAGGAATACCTGGAACATGAGATTAAAAGCGTGAAAAAGTGCATCGAATGCTATTCGAATGCAAATAAACACCCGACGAACTGGTCAACAATGGTTTGTGCGAAACCACATCTCGTTCTCTGGGCTAAAGTGATTGGATACAACTACTGGCCCGGAAAGTGTATGAAAGTTGAAGGCGATATGGTCAACGTACGATTTTTCGGCGATTATACCGAAGCAGATGTTTTAGCCACTAACTGTTTTTTGTATTCAAAAACAAACCCATCCGTGAAGTCGATCAAGCCATCGGACCGTTACAAGTTGGCATTGAAAGTAAATATTTTGGTTTTTGACGAAGAGTTTTTTTTCTTGAAGAGAAATTCTGAGTAGAATTGGATTAGAGGGAAGAGACGTCTTTCTGAACACTCCTCTATTTTTATATTTGTTCGACTGATGAACATAAATCACTTGATTGATGAACCTTATCACTTTCCATAATCTAAACCATTTTTCATTCGAATAGAGATTTACTTTTCGTCTTTCATTTGCCAGGATGCCGATAAGTACATTCAAAACATCCGCAAAACATTCGGTTCGTATAAGCTCGCTGAAACCAAGACTCCCTTCGACCCGACCTTGTTGAATCAATACCTTCTGGATTCGATTCCAGGAGCTGGTAGCTCTCCAATCGTCTCGAAAGGCATCACGGATGGCAGTTCCGATGCACTTATCAACGCTTTGGAAGACCAAATTCATTCTGATGCTGATTCGTCGACGCTTCCAAGGGATGTAAGCATGAACAAGTCAACGTCGATTGACTCGACCCAAGCTAATGCAGCGACAGAAGTCAATTCCAAAGATAATCCATCGGATTCAACTGATAGCCTCAACCCGAAAAGTGAGCATATCAAGCAAATCGAAGAACAGGTTCGATTCCCTGACGACAATGATGGCGAGGTCACCCAGAAGAAGTTTGACAACGATTCCAATATTGAAATCAACATAGATTCAATTAATAGAGCTCTTGACGAAGATTCCATGGAATATTGCCATATTCCTGTTGTCCAGCCCGTTGATGCTGAAATTACAACCGAAACCTGGAATTTGTCCAAATGTCGAGAAGTCATGGCGGAGAGTACCAAAGCTTTCGAATGTGTGTGCGACTTGAACGCAAAATTGCAAGACGAAATGAAAAATTTGGTCGCCAAATACGATCGACAGATCACAGATTTGGAACAACGCAACCAGCAGATGATTGCTATTCAAGATGAAAACGAACGTAGCGCCAAGAAGCTGATTGATGATCTGATGCTGAAAATTTGTCAACTAGAAATCGAAAAGTCAGAGTATGACAAAATGATGTTGGTGCACAATGAAATGATTGTAAGAAAAGATGAAGAAAGGATGAAGGCTGTCAGTGAAGCCAATAAGCTGTGTGAAGAAAACTATGCATGCCGTTTGGAAGCAAACAAAAAGCTAAAATTTTGCGTAGCCTGTGACGCTTCCAAACCACAAGATACATTCTACGTTTGCAGTCCGGAATGTCAGACACGTTACTGGTAACGTTTAAAATTGAGCATGATTTTCGTTCAGATCACTTAAATTTCTTCAATTTTTGAAACTTAGGATGCAGATGGACCAGTGAGCAGTATAATGGGATCGAAGAAACTTGAATCGACCCTTCATCATCTGGAAATATGAATGAATGAAGCTTCAGAATGCTGGGATCTATTATTTTAAAAATAAAATAAACAAACACATAAGCTAGGAATTAGACATAAGGACCCATAACATCATTTATTTTCAAACTTTTTTCATTCACATGAATTGCATGTCAAACATTATCGAATGAAAAAACTTTTCTCGAAGTCATTCCTCATGACAAAAGCGAACTCAAAACAAGTGACATCAATTTTAAAAAATCATTTCGGAGAATAAAAATTTCGATTTGGATTTGCTTTTTTGCATTACAATAATTATTCTAACTAATTTCTGAATCGCTCCGTAATTTTTTTCTGAAATTGATTTCAATCAATTAGTCAAACTAGTTGCCAACATAGTAAATATTGAAAATCAATTCATACCCTTCGAAACGATTCATTGCTTTTATAAAAGAATGGAAAGTTGCATTTTATCTTTGTTTTTCATTTTAAAAAAATCTTGAATAAAGTTGAATTCATAAAAAATCAAAGAAAAAAATAAGAACCAATATTCCTAAAATTGGATTATTCTATTAATTTGTGCAACGACTGCCGCAATCGTCATTTGTAGACTTATGTTAGTTGATGTTAGTTGCCAACCGAAACCGCTGAAAAATTGTATCAATTAACATTTAGATTCATCATGGCTCTCCTATTTTGAAGCCATCGCTTGCTACTTCCTTTTCCGCGAATGTAGCCACGCTCAACGTCATGTCGATTGTGCTGATTGCTCAACAAAATCATGTCAACCAAATGGTGGACGTCACGCTAAATTAGCACACTCTTGTCAAGATAAGGAGAATGTCGCATCGGCAAACAAGTGAGATAATTATAGAATTTAGAAGGAGAATACGAAAGCGAGCCTCTTTTTACTCAGAGAAGAGTGGGTTGAATTTCCATTCAACGATCTATTTTATTTCTCGATTCCACGAATTTTTGTTCATATCAACATCTAAGGGCTTCTATGTCGGTTTGGCATTCGAATTTTCATTCACAAATTCGCGTTCAGTGCCATGCATTCGCAACGCTGCCATATGATTTCTATGTAAACATTCGCACTCGCATTCGTATAGCAGTCGTATTTCGCTGTTCTCGAACATTCTCACGAATACGAGTGCGTGTGTTTACATAGAAATCATACGGCAGCGTTGCGAATGCATGCACACGAATGAACGAATGAATTATGTAGTCACAAGTTCGCTGTCATAGCCGCATTCGTCGCATTCGCAAACATTCGAATTTTTGTTCTGTAATGCGAATGCATTCGCAGCATTCGCGAGAGATAAATCCCCTTAGATCAACATGATACCGATATGGACGTGGAAAATATTAATAGAAAAAGATCAGATTGGAACTAGGTTAGAAATAACAGTCAATCATAAAATCTTGATCGTTCAAATTTGGATGGGTCAATAGCATCGGAAATGAGTATAGTAAAACCTGTCAATAGCGGAACCTGTGTATAGTGGAATTCGTGTTAATAGTGGAAAAAAAATGTAAAGGAGCTCAAACAGTAGAATTATCTGTGTCTTGAAAACAGTTTTCAAGGAGATTTGAAGTGTTGAATAAAAGGAGAAAATCGAACCAAAACAGACAAGTTGTTTTATTTCAGTCGATATGAAGAAAGCTGAACCAGCATCCAGATCGAAATAAACATCACGGTTTTTTGTGGTACCTTTGTGTATTATTCCTTTCGAACAAGAACCAGAATTCCGTTCCTTTCTCTCGAATGGTGATTTTATAATCTTTCTGAAATGTGACTCAATCTTTTTCATTGATTCCATTTTAAAAATTGGATTGATATGTACATTTTAAAATTTGTTGCTTTATGGATAGTATTGAACGCATTCAAAAACCAGACATGGTAAGAAACAGAATCAACTGTCAGAAGAAGTTTTTGTTATGACAGAACTGCAAAGTTGTATACAATCGAATGGCTGAAAAGTACCAGACATTTCATATGTTTAATGCGCATCAATTGCATTAATTTGATTCATTTGATTTGCAGATTTTTCTAGGCTTTGTCTTTCTGAGTTTAACCAAAATAAAATTGACAAACCAGCAACAGTAGCTCGAAAAAAGTGTTTTTAATCGTTAAGCAATATTTGATATTATTTGGAAATAAACTCAATTGTTGCGTTCCACACAATTGCGATACGAATCCTCCAATAATATGGCTTCTATGGTAAGACCATGCAATTACATACAATAATTTGTAGCATTTTTGCATGATATCGAAAGATAAACATCATAAAATTAGTCGCTTTTACTTCGAGCCTATTTTCACGTCATAACAATATTTTTAGAAAAAATTCAAGAATTTAAACCCAATAAAATAAAAACATTATAACCTATGGCTCAAAAATGTGATCATTCATAATACCACCTTGTTTCTAGACGAAGCACGACACATTTTGTTGGAATTGTTGTGCCGAAAAAACAACATTGAAGTGCTCAAACTGTCCACGATCATTCCATGCCAAATGTGCTAAATCCAAAAAACGAATGATTGACAATGTGAAGAATTGGCGGTGTCCCGTTTGCATCAGATTGGAATCAACGAAAAACAGCGATGGGTAAGAGCATTTTATTGATTGAAAAATCGACGTTGATCGTCTTGTGCAGACGTGTGCAGGGGGGGGGGGTATTCCGGTATCAGATTTCTACCATTTGGAGTAATTGAATTTTAATTGAACTCCACAAAATTTAGATAGAAACCAATATGAATAAAAAATAAATTTCTTAGCTTTTGTGTTAACAAATCAAAATTTCCTCCAAATTAATTCAGCAAAGAACGTTTGGACATGTTGCCGATAATGATCAATCGCGCATTCAATGATACGAAGGTAAATCCCGCTTGATTTTTCGAGAAACATTCTTTTAAACGAATTGTTGAGGCTGTTCGCGAATGGTATTCACTGAGAATATTCATTGGACGTGGTTCGATGCGTAGTTAAATGTGGAAATTGAAAAACTTTGTTCAAAATAGCGGGATAAGTGTTGTTAATCACGGCTTAAAATCTCCGAAAAAACTATTTTGAAGTATCATATTTGTGTACAACTTTTTCAAAAGTCACATTTAACAACGCAAAGAAAAACCTTCAACTAATATTCTCTGCGGTTCAAATAAGAATTCAAAAAGTGTATGGATAAATCTAATTCATTCAATATTCACCACATTATTTCACAGTTTGGTTTACTAAAGCTCCCATTGGATGGTGCAAAATCGAACTCTTTGGTAAATCGAATCGATTTAGCAGGGATTAAAGACAAGACCTACACTTACACCAGCTTCTTCGAGTTTCTCGTTGACGTTCAGTGGATTATCCACAATTGTTCCGTCTTGTTTCCAGGTAATTGTCAGAATTCTGGTTTACAATTAGAAAATTAGACAAAGCGACAAAGAAAATTGAACAAATTGCATTGAAAATTTAATTGCTACATTTTAGTAAAACATGACATGGTAAAAACGGCCAAGTCCCTGGCAAAATATCTCGAACTCGAGATCGAAAGCGTGAAAAAGTGTGCCGAGTGCTATTCGAATGCAAATAAAAACCCAGACACAATGGCTTGGTTCACAGTGGTTTGCGCGAAGCCACACATTGTTGTTTGGGCAAAATTAGAGGGCTATGACTACTGGCCAGCCAAAGTGATGTTCGTCGATAAGAAATTGATTAATGTGCGATTCTTCGGCGATCGCACTGAAGCAGATGTTCCAGCCAAAAAATGCTTTCTTTACTCGGATACGAACCCATCATTGAAATCAACCAAGCCATCGGCCAGTTACAGATCGGCATTGAAGGTAATGTGCCTTTGAAAGTTTTTGTATTTAACTTTGATGGAGTTACTTCGTTGAGGTATCTAGAAATAGTTTAAAGAGTTAAAATCTCTAGAATTGTAAGAGAGAATTCAAGGAAGTTCTTCAAATTCTCCCAATAACCAACTCTGACTTAGATTATTATTTTTAGCTTCGAGCCATTTTCTATTCGAATCGAAATCAATTCATTTTTTTTCATTATCTAGGAAGCCAATGAGTACATTGCAAATGTCCGCAAAAGATTTGGTGTATATCACCTCGTTGAAACGAAAATTCCCTTCAAGCCAACGTTGTTGAATCGTTATCTTCTGGACGTGATCCCAGGAGTTGGCAGCTTTCAATTGCCTTCAATCGTTTCAGAAGACAGCACAGCGAGCACACACTGCAGTCTTGATTCGCATACGAACGCTATGCAAAAACAAACTCGATCTGATGCCGTTCTATCGACAATTCCAGAAGATGTACGCATAAACGAGGAGTTGATTGAATTGACTGGATCGAATCAACTAACACCGCCCGACAATGATGGTCTATCCGAATTAAATATCAACCTCCATACGGAAGAAGTTAATGATGAGCCAATCCGTAAAAAATCTCGATTCTCTAATGGCACAAAAGAGGGACGTGCCGAGAAGAATCTTGTTATCAGCTCTACTATTGAAAATCCCGAAACTTCAACCATTGAAGTTCCTGCCGATTCTGAAATTCCCGTTGGCCAACCATCATCCAAAATGGGTTGTGATGTGATGGTTGTAAATGATGCTGAAAGTTCAAGCGCAAGCTTAACTTGGAATTTGGACAAATGTCAAGAGATCATGGAGAGCACGAAAAGTTCCAGCAAAGCTTTTGACTATTTGTGCGACGTAAACGCAAAATTGCAAAACAAAATGAAAAATGTGGCCGCCGAACACAATCGAAAAATAAAACTGTTGGAAGACCTTAATGTACAATTAACCGACGAATTGAAGAAGAAAAATTATGGACTAGCAGCCGAAAAGTCGGAGTATAACAAAATGGTTGCAAGAAAAGACAAAGAAAAGATGGATGCTGTCAATGAAGCCAAGAAACAGTACGATGCAGATTTGGAAGCTAGCAAAAAGAAGATATTTTGCATGGCCTGTGACACCGCCAAACCACAAGATACATTCTACTTTTGCAACGCAAAGTGTCAGGAGGATTATTGGTAAATTTTGAATTTGAACAGAAAATTAAGCCGTTTTTTCACTCAGATCACTTGAATTTCTTCATTTTTCGGATCTTAGGATGAAGTGGGACAAGTAAGCGGATGGATTATTTCTTGAAGCTCAAGCAAAGGCTTTGCTTTCCTGCAAAGTAACAACGAAGCTCAATACAGCTAGAAGTCCATAAAAAATATCGCCTCTTCAACAACTAAAGACCGTAAAATGATGAAGTTTCATCAAACCGCATCATCGAATATTCGAAATTGATTTTTGGAAGCAAACGAATTAAAAATTCAGAATTAATGTAATGTCTAGCAAATAAGGAATCTTCAACCGTTATCAAACACTATTATTGACATGAATATTCAAACATTTGACCAAATTTTGTATTGAAATAAATAAAATACTTCGAAAATAAGGAAATTGGATTGGATTTTATTTATTCAATGGTTTTGCTCTCTTTAAGCAACGAAATTTATTTTTCAATAACGTTGATATTAACTTATTAATGGTCTATTCTGAATTTTACAGTTAAAAATAGATTCTCCTCAAAATGTTAGAATACATTCATTGTGGTTTTGAATCCATTCGATAGGTGAAGCTATAGATTCGTTCATGATTCTCCCTCTGAAAGGATTCAATCGAATCATCAATGTTATGGATTTCAAATTGAATTTGAAGAACAACTTTGAATCGTACCCACTACCCATGTCGAACTCATTGCTTCATGTGTAGCATTGAACGCACTCAAAAACCACAATTGGCGAAAGAACGAGCTGTCAGAAACGGTTCCTTGTGATAAAAGAACTGCGAGTGTGTGTACTGTTTATGTAACCTATTGCATAAGAAAGACCAGCGTACATAGTCAGATCACTTGTTGTATGGGCATCGCATAGAGCTAGTTCATTTGAATTTTATTCTTTAATAGAAAAAATCATTTTTCCTTGACTTTGATGCAAATAAAATTTATAAATTATTATCAACTAAAGCCTAATTAAAGCGTTTCTCAAATTGAGCATTTGATATTTATGGAAAGAATATCTAGTGTTAAGTTTCACTAAAGGACTGTCGACATTTGTTCATTTTTATTGTTCATTTACAATTTTTGCGATACAAGCCAACCAGCAACATGGCTGCCGTGGTAAGACCTTCAAATGAGATACAATGGCAAAATAGAATGGTGTAAAAATGCTTCATTGTCAATTTTTATAGATATTTTTTAATACATTTTTTGGAAAATGCCACCGAAATTATTAAATAGAATTGCATGAATACATTCCAATTCACCAACTCTCTCTTCACTTTCGATTTTTCTGTGTTTTTTCATTGACATTACAGTTTTAATGAAAATTTCATTCCAAACGAATCGAAATTTTGATAAAACAGAGTATTGTCATTCATTGCCAATAAAACGTAGACAAAAAAAAAACGAAATTTCTGTATAAAATGACGAAAAAGTATTATTGATTCAATCTCATGTATTTGCAGATGAAGCATGATAAATTCTGTTGGGTCTGCACTGATAGTGCGACAGCTTTGAAATGTTTGAATTGTGTTCGGTCCTTCCATTCAAAGTGTATCGGAAGACGACAGCAAAGTATTGATAAAGAAAAAAATTGGCTGTGTCCAGTTTGCACCGATTCGGATGCTGCAAAGGGCAGTGATGAGTAAGAAAATTTTATGATTGAACAATTTGTCTAGTAAACGAATTGATTGATTTGTATAATTTGTTGAAATTTTCATTTATTGAAACTATTATTGGTACAATGTTTCAAGTAAAATTGATTTCATTTTATCTCATTTTTATGAGTCGATTCTGAAAATAGTAATTTGTGGTTTGTCACTATCATAACCAAATTCTTTTAACATTCTCAGCAAAGCATGTTTGGACACGTTGCCCACAATGATCAACTGCGCTATCGAAGATGAACGGGTAATTCAATTGCTTTGCTTTACTTTGACTTAGCCATTCGTTTCCAGGAATGTTAATTAAAAATTAACGTTTGACTCTTTATTTCACAGTTCGCACCGTTATCAGGCCCATTGAATGGTCCAATGACGAATTTCATTGTAAATCCGATCGACCTAACGATGATTAAAGACAAGATTCAGTCTTATGACAGCTTCACTGCATTCCTTGCTGATGTCCAATGGATCGTCCACAATTGCTGTATCTCGTTTCCGGGTAAGCTGATAGCGACCCATATTCGAACAAATTTATTGTTATTGACATAGTTCTGGTTATTGGCTTAAAAGCCTTATATTTTGACAATCACTCATTGAAAATGTTGAAAATATTTCATTTCAGATAAGCACGACATGGTGAATAAGGCCAAAGAATTGGTAGAATATCTCGAAGACGAGATAGAAACGGCAGAAATGTGTGCCGAATGCTATATGCATGATTTCAGCTTAGTTTGCACGAAACCACATCTGATCGTCTGGGCTAAATGGGAGGAATGTGACCATTGGCCAGCAAAAGTTATGTCCATCGACGGACAATTGGTGAACGTACGATTCTTCGGCGATCATACCCAAGCAGATGTGCCGGCATCTAACTGCTTGTTGTACTCGGAAACAGACCCATTATTGGCACCATCGCCCAGCTACCAATCGGCATTGAATGTAAATATCTTTTTTTAAAATCATATCGAATTGTTTTTATCAAACTCAATTTGTGAGGAAAAAATCGAAAATAATATGAATTAGTTTGAAACAAAGAGGGTTTTTCGAAATTGCTATAAGGTCATTCTAAACTGTTCCATTTCTAAAATTTGAAAACTTGAACCTGTTTTATTCCCACCACCAATTTTGTTGAAGAATGAATTCTTTCTCTCTGGATAGAAATTGAATAACTCAACTTCTTCTGTTCATCTTTCTCATTTTCAAGGAAGCCAATCAGTACTTGGAAAACCTTCGTACAAAATTTGGATCGTACCATCTCTCACCAGACAAAACTGTATTCGAACCAACAATGTTGCAACGTTATCTCCAGCAATTGATTCCGGGAGCATTCAACTCTCAAGAAGCTTCGAATGATTCAGAGCCAAGCACAGATTGTAGCTCTGATTCAATTGTCAATGCTACGGAAACATATCAAATTCATTATGACCCTGACTCATCGACGACTGCCGAAGGTGTGTGCAAGGAGTTGACAATTGTATTGCCCCGATTGAATCCATCAACATACTCTGGAGGTGCGTCAAAACGAAACGATAATGCAAAAAATGATCATGAGCCGACCAAAAAACGGGCTCGATTCGTGAAAAATAATGATGGTGGTCGCAGCTCGAATTGTGATGCTGAAAACGAAACCTGGTATATGGCCGAATGTCAAGCGATAATGACGGGACATATGATCAATTCCACAAAGGCTTTTCATGACTATTTGTCCAAGTTGAATGCTGAATTGGCCAGAACGATGGCCGCCAAATACGATCAACACATCAAGTCTTTGGAAGAACGCAATCAACTGTTGGTTTGCGATGGCGACGATAAAAAGTTGATCGATCAGCTAAAGAAGAAAATTCGTCAACTGGAAACTGAAGTCTCGAATTTGAAATCAGAATACAGCAAAATGATCGAGAGCAAGGAGGAAGAAAAGATGAAAGCGGTCGACGAAGCCAAGAAACAGTGCAAATTGAAGTACACACGCCTCTTGGAAAATGCCGATTCCGAATGACCACCCACATGGATTGCAATCCAGTAACACATGAATTACTTTCATTTTTGTACAATTGATGATGATTCAGAATAGTACAACATAAACTAACAGCCCAGTGTTCTCTACACGTTTTAGATTATAAGAAAATTGAATTATGAAATAGATTTGTAAGAAAAACCTAGTGAAATATCGTTTTGCTTCAATAAAGAAACGATTTTTTGCCGAAGAAAATATGAATTTGCCCTAGAATTTGTCTTTGCTGCATTAGACATTGAACCTTGCCAATTTTTGTTCACGTTATTTTGGTTTTGTTATTAATTTCAATGGAAAATTGAATGCAAATTAACTCTTTGATCGTCTTACATGCTGCCACCCGATAGCGTATTTTGTATGAAAACTGGACTAAGATATAAGATGAGACATATAAACAGACTGTCTTCAGCAACCTTCAGTACTACAACTTTACCGAAGAAAAGACGTTATTTCTCATCAGTTTTGCGAAAAATGATAAGCAAAAACTCATAAACTCTTGAAGTACTTGATTTGTGTTTGGTATTTCAAATTGTATCGAAAACACATTCGTTGACGAAAAAATTCGCTCTGTCGATTTAGATAGACATGTGTGCATGGAATTGGATACAAAACATCCCTTCTTAGCATCATTTTAGACAGAATTTTCGCGAAAAAGAATTTAAATTTGGAAAAATATTTTTTTCCCGAAAAATCTAGAAAATGGCATTGTGATTGAATCATCTCAAGACTATTTGCCACTAAACCAGTCCAATTGGTGTTTGTGTTGGCTCAGAATAGTGTTGCCTAGCTTAGCTTGTTTTGTACAAATGTCAAAAGCGTTTACTCAACACTGGCCCATCTCATCGTCAAAATGTCAAACGTCATACGAATCGACGACGCGGCCACACCCGAAGTGGAAAATATTCAAGCCAAGCAAAGCAAAACATTGATTAACTCAAAATAAATATCTGGATCAGTCGAATTTCTGGTTAATTTTGTTCAATAAGTCGTAATTTTCGAATGTCGCATTGAAAAAAGGTGGTTAAAGTGCGTTTTACTTTAATTCAAAGAAGATTTTCTGGAATAGAAGAATCGAATTGTCAATTGAACAATTTTGCGTCGACAAATATCAGTAGCCTGGACTGAGTGAATAAAATCAAAGCCAAAGGTAGGTTTCAATAGATCAATATCTTTCCATGAAATAAGAATTGGATTCTATCCGACTTTCTGACCAAATTATTGTTTCAAAAGTGATCTGTTCCCAAATTTCAGTCCCAATTCAGAAGTCATCATTTCCCATTCGAAGTGTCACTGTTCAAGACAGTGCAAAATTCCAATTCCAAAAATGGCTGCCGTCTACTGCCAAATCAAGGTAATCAATTTGCTATATAAATTTAGCAACTATCAGCATTTTCATTCGATTTAACGATTCTTTTTAATTTTCAAGGATTTGACACTGCACGCACATTCGTTCTACATAAATGCGCTGATCATTGCCAAAACGGAAAAGAGAGCCGTTCAACCGGGACGGAATGTGATCACATTCACAGTGCGCGACACAAAAGATCATTTCATCAATTGTACGGTTTGGGGCCAGGACCAATACATCGATGTGTGTGCACGTGTCCACAAAATTGGTGACATCATCTCTATCTACACGCCAAAGGTTCAGCAGAAAAACAACGGCAGTGAATATCATCCGCGGACAACGTCACCATTCGAATTGACTGTGAGCGAAGGCAAAGCGTACATTCATCGGGTTAACGAACAATCGGACGATTTACTTCGGCTTCAATGCCTAGCAGTTAAACCTACGAGTCTAGCGTTGAAGTTAAACGACCTGAACTTCTACTCCGATTCAAAGGTTCTATCTGTCGATGTGGTTGTTTTGGGTAAGACAATTTGGACCATTCCTTTTTATATTAAATCAGAAATTTTCCTTCAGTTTCGAGTATTTAAAAGATCATGTGAGATTCTATAGGCTTCAATCTAATAAGTTGTATTTTCATTGCAGTGAAATCTATTGAGCCGGCGCGTCAAGTTCAAACGTGAGTAGAATCAACCGATGAGATATTTTTTCTGGAAGCTTTGTGTTTGAAAGCTTCAATCTGAAGAGTCCAACTTTGATTAGAAAGTACTTTTAATGTTTGTATCTAAGGCTAACTCCCTCCCCTTTTCCTCTTTCAGAAAATTCGGCGTTAAAACCATGCGTAAAGTATACCTGATGGACATGACAACAGAATCGATTTCGATGACCGTATGGCACGCTGAGTATCAAGAGCGAATGGATCAATGGAAGCCACTGGAAACGGTATTACATTTGGTCGATGTTCGAGCCGAATACTCAGAGTTCGAGCGTTCAACGGTACTTTCGGTGACATCAAAAACGATTATCGTGGAAAATCCGATGTATTCATCACGGTCCAATGAAATTTTGGTCTACCTTCATGAATTGGATGCGGAAAAATTCAACGAATTGAAGAGCAATCAACCGAAAGCAGTGGTCAATGCGGCTACAATCAAAGATGTGATGACAGTTAAGGGCATCCTAAATGCCATCGAACGTGATCCCAGCAAAGAGATTTCGGCCATTGTTTACGGTGTAATCACGAAATTCGACATCACCAGTGGTGTGGTGAAAAGTTGTGTCCATTGCAAGCGCATGTTGCTCCGAAATCGCAACGAATGTGGAACAGCCAGCTGTGAGACTTCAACGACAAATGGGCCACGATATATTGATAAAATTTTCATGGCCGTTTCGGTGGCTGACCATTCTGGTACATTGAACTGTCGAATCAACGATGAATATGCTGTGAACATTCTTGGCCACACAGCACAACAGCTTAAAGCATTGCCAGACGACGATGTCAATGCCATTTTCGAGAATTTCATGCTGCAACGGTTCGCTGTTAAAATGATCGTTCGGCCAAAATCACAAACGGAATACTTTGCAAGCATTTTGAGCATCGCAACAGAACCACCCAAAGATGTGGCTAAGGCATTGAAACTTTGAAGAGGTTTTGAGCTTTTTTTAACAATTTTTTTTTTGACTTTTTTCCGTTTTTGAAAAGAAGAGTAGAAACGTCCATTTTTCAAAGGATTCAGCAGACAATTCTAATCCGATGAGTTAAGTTACCAACAAAAGCTGTACTAAAATAAGAGATAAAATCTATCGATTGAAGAGAAACAAAATACTGTACGGAATTTCATTCTTTATTTTGAATAAACCATGTTGAACGATGACACTTTATTTGATAATCTTTATTATGCTTTATTGATGAATCAATAGAAAAAAAGACATTTTCATTTAAAGCTAGAGTTAATTGGAACTTTCTGTTCAATCTTAAATCTATTCCTTGAAATAAGAAAAAAAAATGAACGTTATTTTTAAGTCTACTTTTTTGCTTCAATGGAAAGTAAATCAAACGGAAAATCAACAAAATTAATAAAGAAAAAGTACGAAAAAAGAATGATTGTGATGAATTTTGGTTTGTTACACTGTGGATATGAATGTCGAGTCGATATCATCGACTTAAATGGTGACAGTCAATTAGACCAAATATCAACGTTGCCTCACGAAAGTCTTATTCGTGGTTATTTTCGCATTCGTCGCTGCAAAAGATGGGTTCAGAAATTGGATTTTGGCATGTAGTGCAAACTGGTTTCATTTCCACGACGGCAATGTTTTGCTTCAAAGTCCAGATCTTTTCGTTGTATTCGTTGACATTTTCTTTGAGACGTTTTCTTGCTTCTTTCAGCTCCGCCAAAGTATCCAAAGCTGTCGACTTGGATTGTTCAATCTCGTTAATTTTACGCTTCATTTCTTCGATTCGGTCTTTCTTCGAACTTGAAACTTTGCCATTTGCAGCCTTGGCGTTTCCGTTCGAGTTGGCTGGCTTACGTGTTTCTTTTTTTCCTGGCGAAAGTGATGCATTGGACGATTCATCTTGGGTTTCATCGTCCTCAGCGGTCGAATTGTCGGAGAATCGACGCCGCTTGTTCGGTACTGGATCAGCATCCGTCTTCTTAGCACCGTTTCGCTGACGTTTTCCATTGCTTTCATTTCGGTTTTGTTCCATACCGTTTTCGGATTCAGAATCGTTGTCGTTTTGTTGTTCTTTTGGTTGGTCAATCGAGTCGTTGCAATCATCATCTTTGTGCTGTTCATTCGACTCTTTGTCCGATTCATCACCTGAATCTTCGCCAGAATCATCACCATTCGGCTCGTTTCCTGCGACGGCATCTTTTGTTTTGGCTTCAGGCTTCGACACATCTGCCGATGTTTCATTGTTGTCTTCCGATAAACCATCGACAGTTTCGTCATCATCGACATCGATAGTTGCATTGGCGTCTTCTTTTTGAGTCGTTGTTTCTTCATGTTCATTGTCTTCGCTTTCATCCAATGTTCCATGACGACTATCGTCTTCGGTTTTATTCGATGTTTCATCGTGCTTGTCGTCTTCACCTTGTGCCATTGAGTCGTTGACGCTGCTATCGTCAATCTCTTCAACTTCATCAGATGATGACTCATCTTCAGTTTTCTTTGCTGATTGCTTTTTGAATGCACCTGGGAACATGCTTATCAGTTCTTGCTTCAAGTCACGACCATTTAGAGCCACTTTGCCATTGGCCGGACTGAATGAGCCAAATTTTTTCACGACATTTTCAGTGTGACGCTTGAGTTCCTGGGAGAAAAATGAATTTTCGAATGAAAATGATTGTAATTTTTGACATTTTCCAAAAAATTTATTTTTTTCATTCATTCAAAAACGTCTTAATTGCCATCGAAAAGCATGACACAACTTACCTTGATCGCATTTATGAGGTCCTTATTCTTTGGAGTTTTTCCGATCAATTCTTTTGCGTACAGATAACAGTTGTCAAATGAGATGTCTTCTTGTGTGTGGTCGCCGAAGAATTCGACATTGGCCATACTTGTATTTTTGTCGATGGACATAACCTTGGCCGGCCACAACGGATGACCGGTCAACTTGGCAAGGACCAACAAATGTGGCTTGGTACACACACGAGTGAAGTAGTTGCTAGGATCGATGATCCAATATTCGAAGCAATCGGGACATGTTGTGATGCTTTTGACATCGCCTTGGCATTGTTCAAGCAGCGATTCAACCGCTTTCTTCACATTGGCTTCTTCTGCGAAAACACATGGAAAAAATTCAAAGTTTTAGTTGACGAATCTCAATGTATCAAAGTGACATAGTGTGATGGAACATGAATTGAGACAAAAGTACAGAGAAATGAACCGAAAAAAATCACTTCAAAGTCACTTCGTTAACCAAATTGAAAAAATTGTCCGAAAAAAAGGAAATGAAAATCCAATGAATGAAAATATCATCGCTTCTAATTTGTTTCAATCAAACCCAACACCAAATTCTACTGAAATTCCACAACCAAAGATGCACTTACTTGAAAAATGATCTGTGTAGCTGCGACACAAAGCTTCGATGTCGTCCATGAATTCAACGAGACCGGTGTAGTTGTCAAATTTTTCGTCAATTCCCGCTAAACCAATTGTGTACAGCTGTTCGTCCGATGTGCCTAGCGGCTTCTTCAAGCATTTGTACTGTGTGTCAATATGAACACGGTTTAATATTATGCACATTCCAAACCAATTTTTTGTACGAATTTAAGAGAATGCTTTTGCCTAAATCCCAAATGAAAAAAAAAACACCATCAAAATGTACTTACTTTTTTTGCTGACATAATGTCTTCCCAGGTGTATTTCAACAATCTCAGCTCGTTTCGAGTCGATTGCATTGCACTTGTTTTTTCTTCGTCATGACTTTCGTCGTCACTTGAATTATATTCTTCTTCCATTTTCTGTGGATTTTCCTTGGACGGTGTTGTCATTGTTTGTTCGAAACTATGCGTTTTTTTTACGGTAAAGATTAATTTTTTGTCCACTTGAGTCACTTGGAGGGAAAAAAAAGTTCGCTTGGAAATTGCGAAATAGTTAAACTTGAAATTACGTGTAACTATGAGTACGGTGAAAATCCAAATGGACGCTTGCACACCGAATACCAAATGACAGCACCACTTTCTCGTTGCGTATGTTCAATGACGTGAAAATGATTCAATAGGGCATTCAATGCATTTTCAATCGCCGCGGAAGGTATCAAAGGTGGAAAAATGTTATTGGAAGAAGAATCGTATTTGGAAAAATGTTTCTTTGCAATTCTAAATCGAAAATTATGATAAAAATATTATTTTCAATTTTTTTTCAGCATCTTCATCTATTTTTCCAGTGTAAATACGCAAATCGAAAATACCTTGCAGCTTCTGTTGTTGTGTGGGCATTGAATGGACTTACTTTGTTTGTATAAAACGCATCCCAAGCTATAAAGCAGAAGCCAAATGTCAACGAAAAGAACGACTTTTTTTGTTGATGAATTTGTCGAGAAAATTGCGCAATTTTGATTAAAAAAAAACATAAAATTTTCTGACTAAAAACGAAATTTTTTGTCCGAATTTTATTCTTAGCCAGTATATATTCAGTTGCATTTCAATTGGTAAGCATGGAAAACGGCGAAAATTTGCATGATGATAATGATCAATTAGAAGAAAATACAACCGAATCGAAGCCAAATGTATTGCATCTCTTGAAATACAGCTGGGACCGTATTAATCGTATGGAAAGGGTGAGTTTTGGAGAGATTTTGGTACTATTACACTATGCCCGAGTTATCTATTTAAACATTCATACTGTCGATTAAATGTATTTGTATAATTTCCAATTATATCCTACATTTTTCACAATATGTCGAACCAAAATGCAGGTCAAAAGCTTAAGAAAAGTGTTGAATGAATCACCATTGGTGGATACAGTTGATCTGGACGGGATTACTGCGAAGATGTCCAGTTACACCACGCTCAATGAGTATTTGGCCGATATCCAAGGCTTCGTTCATAGTTGCTCGGTTCGATTTGCGGGTGAGTGTTTCTTGCCCACATGTGTGAAGCACACATTTTGCATAGGTGCAGAGAGGTTCCAAAAGTGTTTGGCAAATGGCATGGTCTTTTGACAATGTGAAAAAATCGATTCCAATCGGTCGCTGCCCGTCATCAGTTCTGAGTTATTTCCCATTATTTGTCACTATTTTTCCACTACTTTATTTAGACAAACAAACTATAAGCTGATTAGTCTTCAATCTACATTTAAAAATCCTTCTGCAATTTCAGGAAATGGCCCGGTGTTGAGAGCGATAAAATCATTTTCGGAAAATTGCCACCGTGACGTGAATAGCATTCGAAAGTGTTCCGAATGTTTCAATGCCTGGACCAAGGATCGTTACAATTATTTTACACGAGCTTGCAGCAAGCCGCATCTCCTTGTCTTTGCCAAGACGCCAGCAAACCCATTCTGGCCAGCGAAAGTGATGTTGATCAATGGCAAAATGGTGAATGTGGAATTCTTTGGTGATCACACCCAAGCTGATATTCCAGCCGAAGATTGCTTTTTATATTCAGAACGATTGCCTGGTCGCAACACCAAGAAAGATGAATTCATCACAGCAAAAAAGGTAATGGAAATTATGATTACTAACAAATTGAATTAGTTTCTATTCAAAACCAATCATTTTCTAAGCCTTTCTTTTGATTTCCATTTCAAAACAGGAGCTCAACGAGCACATTGGAAACATTAAGAAGAAGTTCGGCAAGTTCAAGCCAGCTGGTTACAGATGTGTGTTGAATCCATTCAACTATAAAGGCCAGTTGCATGCTATGATTCCGGATGCATTTGTTGATGATACATCGTTAGATAATGGCTATGAATATCGTGCAGAATGGGCTGAAGTTCACCGCGATTGCGATTTCGATGATTCCATTGTAGAAGTGATTGGATCATCGATGGGAATGGTTCATGAATCACCTGCCAGTGGCGATGGTCAATCGTTATCAGGACATAGTCGCACAGTGAAAGCAAAGCATGGTGAAAAACGCCATGCGAAAGAGGGCCAAGGCACACGAACTCCAGACGAAAAACACCAAGCAAAAGATGTTCGTGTCAAGGAACTTCGGAGAGAAGAACATCGTCCAAAAGAACGCGTAACAACAAAAGGCCAAGCAGAAGAAAATCGGTCGAATCAAAGCCAATTGAATGGGCATCAAGAAGGTCAAGCAACTGATTTGGGGCTCCCAAATGGGAAACAAAGTGCCATCGGTAGGAAAAGCAATGTGAACACGAGGGGCCATGATGTTCATCAAGAATCAACCAGTTCAGCTGAAAGTGAAACTCCAAGACGTGCTCGCAAAACATTCCCCGGCCCAATGCCAAAACTAGGCCAATCGAAAAAATCATCACAAATGCATCGTGATACAACGGCTCGAAAAATCGCTAAATTGGAAATTGAACGAGATCAACTTTTGCTGCAAAACCATGCATACGAACAAGAAATCTTAAAATTGAACGAGCAACTCCAGAAAAATGACCACTGCACTGTTTGTGCCTCGTGCGGAAAGGGTTTGGACGAACTGTATTTCTGCAACAAAGACTGTCAACTGAGTTTTGACTAATTTGTTTTTCGCATGTTTTTTTTATAAAATCTGAAGTTTTTGATAGCATTTTTCTATCTTCATCGAAGAACTTCGATTTTGATTAACTTTTTTTTAGCATTTAGCTTGATTTTTGTTAGCATTAAGTATGATATTATCCGTTGATTATAACTTACCTTGAAGAAAATGACTTATTGAACCATACCATAGCTTTTCAGTAGCTCTTTTGTCTTCAAGATCTTGAGTTTACTACCAAAAAAGTATTTCCTTACCAGATAGTCTTGAAATTGAGAATTGTTTGAATAAAGAAGATTGAGGTGTTTCTAAAGCATATTCTATATTTACATTTTTGATTCATGATTACTTCCTTGGTGCCACTTAAGCTTAATGTTACCTCAGAAGCCTCTATAATACAATTGACATTGCAACGTGTATATTTAAATGTTGTTGGTGTGATGGACTAACATATGGGATGAGATTTCAAATTAGCCAAACAGTTTTTGCATAAGTAAAATTCAACAAAGGTAGCAATCGGAAAATAGGTAAGTTTGGCTTCGAAAAAGTAAAATCAAGAATTTTTATTTCAAAGTCATTGTTTTTTTTTTCTATTCGGACATTCGCAGTTCATTTTAGGCAGAAATATTACTTCAACAGAGCTGAAAGCTAACAATATTTGTCTAGATTTCAAAAATATTTACTCAATGAATTTAAATTTTATATCATTTATTTATTGAAAATTAAAGAAAAATGGTTGATCAAGTCAAAAATGCTATGATCTATGTCGATATAAGCTATTGGTCCGAGGTTAAATGTATGATTAGTATGCAAATTGCTTCAATTGAACGTATCGAAGATTAACAACCTGCATCAAATAGGTCAATTAATACATTATTCATGGCTGCATTTTACATGGCGCGTTAGTCGGAATTTCGATGTATAGTCTTTTTTTCATACTTCACATCGGAATGGGTTCACACCGGTGTGATGAACACGCATGTGGAACATCATACTCGATTTATAGGATGTCGCGTAGCTTTTGCACAAGTAACATTCGTAACGTCGACTTTGACACTTCGATTCATGTTGCTCCTTTTCCATCTCTTGAGAGAAGTTTCGGACGCAAACCAAACATTGGAATTTCACCGGACGAGGATTTGTGTGAACTTTTGAATGACGCATCAGACTGGTCTTTAGTGTGAATTTCTTGGAGCAAAGGCTGCATCGGAACGGTCTTACGCCAGAGTGCACACGAATGTGGATCTTCAATTCACCGGTATTTGAAGTAGAGAACTTCTTGCACAAGTGGCATTCGTAGTGTCGTCCATCGCAAGTGGCTTCGTGCTCTAATCTTTCAACATTCTGTGCGAATCTCCTGAGACAAACTGAACAGCTGAACGGATATTCATCGGGGTGTGTTTTCAAATGTCTTTGAAGATGGTGTTTTAGTGTAAATCGTTTGTTACAGATTTTGCATGGGAACGGCATCTCGCCAGTGTGCGTCAACATATGCGTCTTCAAATTGGATGGCCATGATGTGACATAATCACACGTCGGGCACTTGTGCTGTTTCTTGGTCTTTCTTCCCGCAGACTGTTTTCTATGCGCAGCATTGATCAACGCTTTGGCTCTGCCTTTCAATCCAATTTCCCCTTTCTTCGACTTTTCAACCGATGAACTTTGCTTCGCCGCACTATCTTTCTTCGCCTGGTGCTTCTTCGCAGTGTTTCCCTTCAAAGTGTCAATTCCATCTGATTGTTTGCTTACTTTTGGCGTCGATTCAACTTTGGTATCGGCTTCAGCTTCTGCTTTGAGCTCCAATTTAACAGGTGTTGCATACAAATCTTCAATTGTCAGTTCATCGTTGTTTTCGGCAGTGTTGATTGGCCCCAAATCACGTCTAAGCTTTGTTATCATGGGTACATCACATTCTGGCTCCAACTTAATGTCACCTTCTTGTTTTATTTCATCAGGAATCAGTTCACTGTCTTTCGCACGACTGGCATTTGATTTGTCCATTTTGTGAGACTTCCAATCCGAACCAAAGCTGTCCACAATGTTACAAGTTGCTTGCTATCAAAAAGAAAATGTTTATAGGTTATGAAATTATTTGATATCAATTTTCATATGAAAATTTGTCATTTTGATGAAAAATGCATAAAAAAACTTGTGAATTTTAGAATTATTTGTGGAAAAAGACAATTTAGAATTAAGAACAAAGTCAAAAATATTCACCTTTTTGTCATTCACGTTCAATGTGGCATCAAAATATTGGCTAATTTCTTTAGTTTTCTCTTTAAACAGTACATAAAACACGTAAATAGAACAAAAGATTGGTCGATGATTTCGAATAAAAAAGATTTTTGACTTGGTTCCAAAAACATGTGTCTAACAAAATGCGCTGTTTCTTATCTACATGAATCAAATACAACGATGCATCATGGAATTTATTGCTACGCAAAAGTGGAGCACTCTATCAATGTATTTAGCTACAGTGTGCCGCTGTTGAGGTATTTTTGTCAATGTATGAGGCAAATATTCGTCATATATAAGTGTGCGCACTGTGCATTGAGAGCAGCAACGTTGTGACGTATGCGTGGAATCACCGAACAAACTTTTCCCACGTTTTCATTAAACGCACTCATCACATCATTTGACATTTTACACTTGGTGCTCACAATTTTCCACATCGTTCTAGCACACACACACGTATTTTGGCATTTATTGTTGCGCAATAGATTCTTTCTAGAGAAAATCTATTAATAGTAGACAAAACCCAAATATTTGCATGAAAATAGATTACAGTGGATTATGGCAAGACCAACCAATGCAATGCCCATTGATCAGGTGGATAGTTCAGAATCAAGTGCATCGCAATCGAATGAAGTACGATTGCTGAAGCATAGCTGGGCTCGTACAATCAAAATGAAAAAGGTGAGTGAATTTTTTTGATACATTATCCTGAAGAATTTCATGGGTTTGTGAAAAAATCCTCTTTTGCTAGAAGTGGACATTCTTTGGGTGGAAAAGATCGTTTCTGCTATTGGTTTTCGTGGTCATTTTTATTTCCAAATCGATATCCATTTTTATTTCCAAATCGATATCCATTTTTATTTCCAAATCGATATCCATTTTCATTTTCTTTGTTTTTTCGAGTCAAAATTGCTAAAATGCTCCAATTTCCAATCCAATTTCAGTTCAGCATCCTCAAGGACCAATTAACATCGACGAATCCAATGATTAATACGATCGGTCTTCATGGAATCACCCGAAAAATCGACAGCTACACGAATTGCGATGAATTTTTGGCCGATATCGATGCTCTTGTTCGTAGCTACTCGTTGAAGTTTAGTGGTAAGTTCCATTGACATGACATACATTGGCAATTAGCATTAACACGTCATTGAAGAAAAGAATGTCTTCGATTCAATTCATGTTGAACTGTTCTCTTTGGAGCAAATTAGCACTTTGGAATCTACAAATATTCACTTCCAGCTTAAAGCGAATTAGTTCTTCTCTCCTATTGGGTGAAGATTTGTCATTGTCTTTGGTGTTTTATCTTCCGTTCTTTCTTATCTGATTTTGTATTTCGTTTTTTAGCTTTTGGCTTTTGACTATCGGTCTTCTATCTCCACCTACCAAACTTCCAATCAATTCTCGTCTACAAAATCAAACCAATTCCCTAGGGGCTTCCATGTATATTCCATCCAAGAAATATACACCATAGATGACAGTCATACGAAATATTCACAATACTGGCAAAATATGCACCATATTCACGGAATATACACGATATTCATGAAATATACACCTCATATTCACGATCGGTAACAAAGATTTGACATTGCCGTAAACACATATTTTTTACATGCTGTGTATATTCTGTGAATATGGTGAATAATATACACGGATTATATGCAATATTCACGAAATATTCACACAAATATGAATGTATATTTTGACTTAAAAGCCCCTAGCCAATTCCACTGAATATATCGAAACATTTATTCAATTACTTAAAAAAATCTCATTCGTACTTATAAGAAACCCGTTCATCTCAATTCAGCTCAACCCGATGCCAAGGGAGTGGTCGCTGCGTTGGCCGAACTATGTCATCGTGACGTGAGAAGCATTCGCACGTGCTCAGATTGCTTCGAATATTGGGCCAACGATTCGCAAAATTATTTTACAAAAGTTTGCACCAAACCGCATCTCATCGTGTATGCCAAGGTTGATGGTTGCCGAAAATTTTGGCCAGCCAAAGTGATGTCTGTGAATGGAAACATGGTAAACGTTGAATTCTTTGGCGATCATACGCAAGACGACGTTCGAGCCGAGAAATGCGTTTTGTACACACGGCATACTCTTCGACGTAAAAATGCCAGCCCATTCAACGATGCGATTTTGGTGAGAAATAGTTTTTTTCTTCTTGGATCTGAGGCGATTTTTAAATGGCAAATTGAATATATTCGTGTTGATTTTTCATTTAGATATGCTTGAGCTATAAAATGCCGTATTCTCTGGATATTTATGTCAATTAAAACAATAGTTGATGCTTTCATATTTCTAATCGAACATTTACTTGCAGGAACTTGATGGTCATATCAAGAACATTGAAGAAAAGTTTGGTCCAATGTGTCGTGCTAGCTCCAAAATCACGCTTGATCCAAAAAATGTGGAAAAACAGCTAATGACCATGATTCCGGGAGCATTCAAGCGAAGCCCGGATGTTGAACGTGCTGCTTCGAATGAAGCTCAGCCAAATGTCGATGAACCAGGCGAATCGTTAGGAAATGTGCCAACATCCAACAGATTGCCATTGAATGATGAATCGAACGGTATCCGAATGCAAAGTGGCCAAGGCGGACTTGGTCAAAAACGCAGTGCACCGTTAAGAAACGAAGAAACCGCATCAGCAGTAAAGAAAGCTACAACAGCTCATGGCTATGTTGCATTGACTGCAAACTAAAATGGGATCTTTGATCGTTCGAACAGTTTGAACGTTTAATTGTCCACATTTTCATTACATTTTTTTCTATCAATTGCTTAACTGTGCATTGCAATTTGGAAATCTTTTGGTTTTCTTAACCATTCATTGTTTTTGGATTTCCAATTGCAAGTTCAACTATTCTCTATTTTGATACCGATAGTTTTTTTTCTTCTAAAATTAATTTTCAAATTACGTCTTTTTTGTTTTGAAAAGTTCTTACCTAAGGGCTAAGGATTTGATCTATGTCTCTGAAAAAGTCATATGAATTGATAAAACAGTTCAATACTCTATTTCTTATTACCATAAACTGCATTTTCAATTTTCATTGAATAAATATACAAATTCGAAAGAGAAAGCATTTGGCCTAAATTTCAAAATAATATTGAGCTACGAATAAAAAGTCTCAATTCCCATCAAAACGACGTGTGTGTTCTTTTTCTTGCGAAAAGCTTCATGGAGATTCCTGTAGAGACTTACTTTTGATTCAAGGCAGGTTTACTATTGCGACAGAACAAATTGTGAACACTTTCGATACGATCATACCAATCAGACTTCAAAATTTATGCCAAACATCAGATGATTTATGATTTTATACCGTTTATTTATTCAAAATTAAAGAAAATTCAGTGATTAAGTTAAGTATCATTTGTTTATGTCATAAGGCTATTGATCTAAGGCTGAGTTTGAATAATT